AAAGGCGTTAAGTCAGATTATGCGAAAAGATTGAGGGAGTTGCCCTCAAGCCCTGATTCTGAATCTAATGTAAATGTCCAGATGCCAGATGGTGATGATTTTGAGTCTCCTGCTCCTCCTAAAAACTCGCAACAAGAGAGCAGTCGGATGACTCGTTCGCAGACGAGAAATACTCCCACTCCAGTTAAATCATCGAGGGACTTGCCCTCACCCCCTTCTTCTGAAGCGAATACGCATGTCCAGGCTCCCGATGATGATGATTTTGAGTCTCCTCCTCCTCCAAAAAAGTGCAACAAGGGAGCAGTCGAATGACTCGTTGGCAAACAAGTAATACTCCTACTCCGGTTAACATCGTTAGAATAAGGAGTAAGAAATGTGGGAGACCTGAAAAATCAAAAGAAAAGCTGAAAGTTGATTTGGTTAATGAAGATGATGTAGGCCGCAATGTTAAACCGAAAAGGAAAAAGATCAAGGACGATGGTAAGAGTGGCCTTGATTCCATATCGAAAGAACAAAGGTTTGCTATTCGCTGCAAATTGAATGAGAGAAAAGCTAAGTTGAAGGTATTCCCTGTGTTGCTACTAATTTATACATGCTTATACAATTTTATACAAAGTTATACAGCTGTTTATACATCTTTATACAAGTACTGCTATACTTATTTATACATTTTTATAAAATGTTTTAGTATAGTTTTTGTTCCTGATCTATTTCTTGTTATTTTTCCATATGCAAGGTTGGGGACTTCTATATACAACCAGTTGATTATTTCCACAACAGGATTAGTTCCCATACCGAGACTGAGATTGTGAGCATTTTGAAGCAATATTTGACTGACACACAGCTTCAAATGTTCCGTGCTAGTTTTTTTGGGTACTTCTTGGACCTCCCTCAATTTAAAATTCAAAATCAACTTATTCATTGTATATTATTGAGGGAAGTCGTCCCAGGACGTGAAAGGAAGTTGTGGGTGAAAATTAATGGTTGTTTACTGCGTTTTGGCATTGGAGAGTTTGCTGTTATCACTGGTTTGAAGTGTGTAGAAGACGACGCCACTTTCTATGACAAACCAGATGTTAATAGGTTGCAAAAAGAGTATTTTCTAGGAGATGGAAAAAAGGCTATAACGAGGGGGCAGCTTCTTGATCGCTTCAAGAAAAAGGACTGGAAGTCGGACAAAGATGCGTTCAAGATGGCCTTGATGGTGTTTGTCCATCATTTCATATTCTCAGATGCCAATAATCATGGTATCAACAAAGGTGATTTTGATATCATTGAAAGTGGTCAATATCAGACATATGCTTGGGGAAAAAGTCATTTGAAGATATTTTAAGGACAATGAGGGACAGACAGTGTGACTATTTGACAATGTATAGGCTTGGAGGTTTGCCACTTGCATTACAAATATGGTTTTTTGAGTGTTGCTCTATGGTTGACAAGCATCTAGCTGTTCGCGTTGGCACAAATATGCCACGCATTCTTAATTGGAAGGTGACTGAAACTCCAACATATGCAGATTTGACTAGCGGGGTGATCATGTGTAGTATCGACAAGGTAAATATTTTGTACCATAATACTTCTTCATATATGATTTCAGTTTTTCTGTATGTATATTTATGAATATGTCACAAGTTCCTTTTTCTACTATTGTAATCCAGTTTTTCTTCTTGTAGAACTATAGGAACATTTCCCCTACTCGTGAAGAGATGTCAACTCTGAACATCGACACGTTTTTTGAAGTTAATGCCGATGATGTTGCATCAGGGGATGTGCCTGTGGTGCCTGCCTTTCACACTGATGATTCTGTCGCTGCATCTCCACCTTGTCCTCAGAATATGGAGCAACAGTCTAAACGACCTTATCCTCAGAATACGGAGCAACAGTCTAAACGACATTTTCCTCAGAATATGGATCGACAGCCTAACCCGAGTTATGATCCTTTGGTGCGCATTGATCTGTTGAATGCTGAAGTTGAGAAGTTGAGGAGTGCTGTTGGAAAGGTACTGGACCTTTAGCTTTTCTGTAGTTTATCAGTACTTTTTGTATATACATGGTTTTTTGGTTATAAACATGGTTGTTGATTTGCTTTTGTTTTTTTTTGTTGTAGTTGACTGATACAGTGACGACACTCAACAATTATGTAGTTTCTTCCTTTGAAAAAGTGTTCAGTTTTCTGAATATGAAGGAAACCAAGCAAACGAGGGAGGATTTTACTGATTCTAAGGTAATTGTTTACTGATAAAACCAAATCACTCAACAGTTATGCCTTCTCTGAATCATCACTCAACATGCCTTCTCTTTCTATTGTTTTTTATTAGATTCGTTAGCGCGTGTCTGATGACAATACATCTGGTCTCGACGAATTTGATGGCTATCAATATGATGTTGTTCCTGACTTTGTCAATCAAGTGAATCAAGATAACGTGCTAGCTGACGAGGGAGTTACTGATGGTGTTGATCATGGTATTTGTTCTGCATTTTATCTTTTTCTTGTCTGATTTTTCTTTTCTTCATTTTAAAGTTTTTTATTATTTGTTTTCTCTGTCTAAGGGGCAGCAGGTGATGTCAAGGGTGACATATTTTGGGATGACATTGGCGATGAAGATTTAGCTGCGCTACAGATGTCCCAAATTGTTCTTCACAAACAATCCATCATAGACGTAGAAGATGATTACATTTCTCCTGAACAGTCAGTTCAACAGAAAATACCAGGAAAATATGCCAAATCTCTATATTTGCTAGTTTTTTATTCGGGGGCATCAGGATCGGCGCCCAAGCTCATTTTTGATATTAAGCATCCTTTCACGATCGAAATTGATGATTTTGATCCATTGTCGCCATTGGCTAAAGAGTTTTGCGCGTTTGTTGATAATGGGATGGATACGAGGCGAAGGTATCTTCACTTTCTTTAATCTTCCATGTTCTGATTTTATAATACTTGTCAATGAATGTAGTTCTGATTACTTTTTATTTTTTGTGATTTGAAGTGCCAAAAATATATATCCCGACGAAGTAAATAATCTTGCGGAAGCTTTTACTTTTGGCTCGTGTAATGTGACCACGAAGGATTGGTTCCACTCACTTGCATATTGTGGTCGACCTTTGATTGACACGGTATTTAATAAATTTCTGTTCTAATGCCTTTTTTTTATTTGTTGCATATCTTTATTGTTTGAGACCCCCATAGTGTATACATAGCTTTGTATAATCACAGTATAAGATTGTATAAGATTGTATAACCTTGTATAAATATGTATACCTCTGTATAATAGTGTATAAATTTCTATATTTAAAAAATCTGGTAGTGATGGTTGTTCTGTTTTATTTGTTGTCTCAGCACTTGGATGTCCTCTTTTATTATTTGAGGAAGAGGGGAAAATATGGGCCGAGTGTTGCCATGCGGTTTACTACAACCGACTTTGCCTTTGGTAACAAAATCAACTCCCTATATAAAGATTTCAAAGTGAATGAAGATCCTTCAGTGATTCCTGAAGGGCATGAGATAGAAGAGTACATTAGAGGATATTATTGTGATGCAAATGTCCCGTGGCACACTGTTGACCACGTCTTATTCCCTATCTATGTGAAGCGCGGAAGAGCAAAAATGGGCCATTGGGTTTTGGGGGTGTTTACGTTCATAGATAGATGCATCCACATCTATGACTCTAATCATGGAGCTATTAATGATAGACTTGCTTTGGATGCTGCATTACCTTATGCAATTCTGATACCTTACTTCTTGAAGAGTTCTGATTTTTATGTCGAGAAGAAGGGCATTGATTGGAACAATGGTGCATATACCGATAAATCCCATTCTGATGCTTTGCAGATTAATCTGGTTAATAATGTTCTTTAACAGATCAAATGGTAGGTTAATCTCAACTGTTTTACTATTTTACTATTAGTGTACCTATTTGAATCTGATTTGTTTCTTTTTAATTACAGTGATTGTGGTGCTTTTGTTGCTGGCTTTGCTGAGTATTTCATCCTTGGTAAGGACATTCGAAAAGATAATTTTGACATTGAGACACTTCACACCAGGTGGGGATCTCTGTTGTGGGATTATGGAAGGAAAAAACAACAGTCCGGTGCAATTAGTGGTGATGAAATCACAGGGAGACTTTTCAGGAAGAGGAAGAGGGGGCGACCGAGAAAGTAGTTCTGTTTTTTTCATTTTACTGTAGTTTTTCTATGTATTAGGAGTTTTAGCCTAGTTTTCTCGAAGTACTATTCTGCTACTTGTGAGATAACCTTAAAGGATATTATAGATGTTTTTATTTTTGTTTAATTTGTGATAGTCATTACACATTGTGGTTGTGAATGAACTACATTTTAATAAATATTTCAGTTGCTTTTGTCCTTTAACAAAGTATGTATTTTCATTATGGTTGCAGTTTTGTTAATGTAGCAGGGTTTATACATATGTATTAAATAATATACATAGTTATACAAACTTATACTCTCATTTATACATCTGTATACATATAATACCATTGATTGTTTGCAGTTCTGTTTTGTATTTCTACAATCTATCAATATATTTAGTACCATTAAAACCAGCAAGACACTATTATTGGATAATCAAAACATGTATAATGAAACATATCAATTGCTTGTGAAACTTAACTACTCAACATTTGTAACTCTATTGTTTGTGAAACTTAACTACTCAACATGACAACAAATGTAATAGGAAGTGTTATGTTTTCAACTATTTATTTTGGTCGATTCCTACATGTTTTTCTATTGTGACCACCTAGTCCACACATAGAACATGAAAACGCCCTCTTAGACTCTTTTTCTGAAGCAGGTTTGAGTCTTTCCTTTCTTGGCCTTCCTGCATTCCTTCTCCCTTTAGGTGGTAGGACCACATCTTCCATCACCTCTGTTGGGATTACCCATAAACTCTCATCTGGCATCGGATTCACTGGAAATTCATAAGTTCTAAGGAGTTTATCCTTCTTGTAGTAAAAAGAGCAATACTGGCCAGGTTTCAGCTGCTAGTTCTTCAAAACCGCCCAAGCATGCGGACATGGAAGTTCATCCATTTGAAATTTTTCGCAACTGCATGTTCCCTCTTCAAGGCACGCTATGTTTCGCCTTACCCCTTCAAACACAGTATATAATTGCTCCGTAGCAGGCCTCACCTGCAAAAGTTGTTTTTTTTAAAATAGTTAAAGAACATTATACATTATTATACCGAGTTATACATCCTTATACAAGCAGTAAAATGCAAGTCAGCAGTGCCAAGCATCATTATATTTGATTCATTTTACCATCATTTGCTCCGATGCAATCAGATTTTCCCGAAGGAGTTTGTCGTACTTTTCGCCAAGCTCTGTAGATGTCTCCATTGCACTTTTTCTGTTTTTGTTGTTCCACTGTTGTAGCAAATTTGTCATGTACTCCAGCAATCGCATTACTGGTAACTCTCTAGCATCCTTGTTTGCTGCATTAATTGACTCTGCAATATTGGAAGTCATTACCATCGATCTTTTCACTTTGGAATATGCCCTAGACCACCTTTCGTAGCCAATATCGAACAAGTAAGGCTGCACTCTCGGATCAATTTTGCACATCTCTGTCATATGGTACTCAAACTTCTCTATCGTGTAAGCTCTAGCCAAAGCAAAGAAGATATCCTTCAATTGTTTGTGATGTTTCTTGAATGTGCGCTTTACATTCTGCCACAAGTGAAACATGCAAATACAATGTGGTACTTCTGGGTACACAACTTTTGTGGCATTGAAGATGCTTTCATTTCTATCTGAAACTATACACATCCCTTCCCTAACTCCAAAAGTACCCTTTATCTGGACAAAGAACCACTCCCAAGATTTGTTATTCTCTGAATCTACAATTGCATATGCAAGTGGAAGGATTTTTCCTGTTTATACAAAATAGATATTAGGATTCAGACAATTATACAAATTTTATACACAGTTATACACAATTATACAATTTTATACCAACTGCAAATTTTATAAAAACAGCAGCTGTGAAATCCTATACACTTTTATACATGAAACTACAACATTATACAAACTGCAGAAACAAGGTAGATGCAGTCAACTCACCAGCTCCATCATGTGTGCAAGCAGTCAATATGGTACCCTTATATGCTGCTTTAAGGAAATTTCCGCCAACAACCATTATCGGTCTGCAATGCTCCCAGCCCTTGATAGATGCATATAGCGAAACATATGCATAAAGAAAGCATTCATCTTCTGATTTGTGCAACTTTGTAACCGTTCCTGGATTTGTTTGCTCCAACATATAAAAATACTTCGGCAACTCCTTATATGAATCACTCGGACTCCCTCTTATCATTGCCATTGCTATTTCTTTAGCTCTCCATGCTTTCATGTAGCTCACTTCAATCCCGTGTTGCTTTTGTATGTCCTCTATTATATCATTTGTGGTGTAAACTTTTTTTGGATTAACATACTTGTCCTTGACTATACTAGCAATTACACCCGAAGTAGCTTGACGTTGTGTTAAGTATCTTTCACCATAGCCGCATGTGTGATTATTATTGTAACTTCTCACTTTGAATATGTTTGGCTTGAAAACGGCATAAGATTTGAAACTCCAAGCACAATTGTCATCCATACACGTAAGGTGATACCTAGGATTAAAGATCATTCAACTTCTAAATACACTTGTATACAAAAACATAACTACATATATACTAATTTTAATACCTATATACAAATATATACTACTTTATACATATATATAGCAGAATATACAATTATTTACATACCTTGTTGCGCTTGATCTCTTCACCTTGAATTGGAACCTCTCGCGTACAGCCAAGTTCTTCGTCACACTGACAACTGTCTCTTTATCCTTATAAACTTGATCTTCCTCAACAAATTCGTTCAATATATCATCTATTATACCCGTATTTTCACTAAATTTCGTGTTTTCAATAAATTCGATATCAATAATCTCAGTGCTATCAATTGTGGATACATCTCTAGAATTTGAACTTGTAGCAACCAAACAGCTGGAACTTGTAGCAACCACACAACTAGAACTTGTAACAACCAAACGATTATCATAAATCTCTTTCACTGTCACAAACAAGGGATATTCAGTGAAATTCAAGTTTTTCTTCTTTAATTCGATATACACCTTAACACCTGTATCGTTGTAAATCAGGATCGGTGGCAAACCAACATTTGGGAGAAAGTTAATCTCTATTGTGTTTAACTCACTATCGATCCTAATCTATTCCGAAATAGCTGCAACTAAATTGTTGTAGCTGAATGTCGACTCGATTATTACACAATCGCTGACAAAATTGATAAACTTGTTTTCTTCCCATTCACCACTATGAAGAACGTAAACTGGAAAAATCTCCATCGAGCAAAAAATTGAAATCAAAATTGCAGCAAAATGAAAATTTTGCTGATTTGCAACAAAAAAATTTCACTTTTCGTGTTTGATTTGCTGTTAATTCGAGATGAAGAAGAAATTCTAGGGTTTTTGGAGCTGCATTGATCGCAAGATCTCGTTTTTGTAGCATTTGGGGAAGAAGATTGGAAAGAATCAGAGAAAATCCTGCTGAAACAAAGAAAATCCCGCTTCTTACTCCCAAAAAACGGAAATAACGCCCCTTTTTTCGGATGTGGGTCTCTAATTTTTGGGCTACTCAATTGTAAATTGAAATATGGGCTATAAAGTTGAAAAGGAGGCAGTCCAGTTGTTTTAATATGAAATTTTTCCATATAAAAATACATTTGCTATATAAAAGACAGTACAAATTTAGATAGCACAAATCACAAGGGAAAATATTTGTCTGCTTGTACATAACGTATAATTTCGTTGCGTACATGTTAAAGAAAAGTTTATGTAATATCTGAAATTATAAGAAATTTACGTTCCAAACTAAAATCTCGGAGGTATGTAACTAAAAGAATTAACCATCAGTTGCACGTTGGTAGGAAATAAATATTCGTCAAACATCATATTTGAAATTGAAATTGAAATTGACTAGAACGTAACTAAGGCTGAAACTTATAATATTTCGTAAATCGTAATATATTAATTACTGTTTTTCAGCCCCCCTCCCCCCGCACCACAAAAAAAAAAAAAAAAAAAAAGAAGAAGAAGATGATGAAAATCATCAAAGGGCACATTAATTACAGAAAAACATTAACAAATTATTAATAAAGTTTACATACACTAAAATAACTCAGCAAAGAAATTTTTCTTTTTTACTTTTATACACTATAAGGTTACTAATTAATAAAGTATATATATGTAACTTTATATGATAAATAAGAATTACTAACATGGAAGTAAGAGAAATAAGTTGTTGTTATAACATGTTATGCGTAAAAAGTATTCCTATTTTATATTGTCAGCATACATAAATTAAATCAAACGACTCTGGTCTTGATAGAAACGTTGATAATGCCTTTAAGTCTAAGTTTTTGGCTCATTTTTCATTTATTGGCACACCAACTTCAAACTCATGCTTTAATTTCATATGGTTCGACTTTACAAGGAGGAGGAGCAGGAGGAGGAGCAACCGTTTTCTTGCCGGCAAAGTTCATTTTACCGATCATCCTTGGCGTTACGCCGCCATGTGGCCTTTTGTTGGTGCCGCTATTGGGTGCCGGTGGTGCGATTCGACGCCATTGTAGTGATGGTAACAACAACATATGTACATTTCTTTTCCAAATTTGCCTTCCTCCTTCTTGATCATCAAGAAGAACTCTAGTGGCTTCATATCTTGTGATGCTTGAAACAATAACTACTATTGCTAAAAGAATTCTAGGGCTTCTTTGAGGTCTCATATTGATTTTGCAACAAGCAATAACCAATCAAGAATTATAAACTAAGTTACAAAATAAAGGATTTTGTGGAGTAATATATTTGATTCTGTAAACGGTTCAGTATAAACGAAGAAATTCTGAATAAAAGAGTCTGGAACTTAGTGATATGAAAGGAGAGGTATGTGATATGAAAAAAAGTATGAGAAAAAGGATGGGGTATTTATAATCATGGAGTTTGATTTGAGAGTTGAAAAGTAGGAGTTGTTAACATTACAAAAAAGAACAAAAAAAGAGTTGAAACTAGGATAATTTTTTGACATTTTTCATTACTTAATTCTCTCTAAGGGCTTTGACTTTTGACTCAATCTGAAACGGAACTTTTTTCAAGAGACAATTTTAGGGTTTAGACAAACCGAAAGATGTAATCGTGGAGTTATTAAACTGACATGCAACACGCCATGCACATGCTACGTCTATTTTAGGGTTTAGGAGAAAAAATAAAACTTTACAAATTAGGAAAAAATAGTATATATAACCATAGACAAATTTAAGATTTTAACTTCATGAATTCGACCCTATAATTGGTAACACTGAACTTATTGTATTTTAATTGAATTCAGATCTAATTATACTTACTTCAATTTTAATAAATTTTTATATTTATATTATAATTTGTATCGAGTATTTTAATTAATTGGATTCAGATCTAATTATACTTATTTAAATTTTAATAAATTTTTTTATATTTATATTATAATTTGTCTCGAATATACTGTGTTAAGATGAATCCGTTACTTGAAGAGATTTAGACAGGTGGTGGTCGGTTCAATTGAAACAAACCATATATAGGATTTGAACTATTATTAAAACCATGTAGCCGTCCAATGAATTAAATAGTGAATATTCACTTTTAGCAATAATTAAATACAAAAAACTATACTCTAAAGTAGAATAGCACTACCGGCCAAATATATTTAGTAAGGTTTTGACTTTACCATCAATAGCAACAAAAACATAATATTTATGTCTTTGCCAAATTTACTGATTTCCCATAATTTGGGAGGTCAAAATAATTAAGACACAACCTTTTACACGTTTTTGGACTGGATTTTGTTTCCTAATTATTTTTTGCTAACTTTCTGAATTGTTAATAGTGGCTGATCAGCTATTCAAATTCTTTATTATTATTATTATTATTATTATTATTATTATTATTATTATTATCCATTTTGCTGCAGTTTGTTTAGATTATTTATTTAAATCATAGCAGCTTGATCACACGGAGTCGGTATTCATTTATTCTGTTACTTTACGACTTTAATATCTTAATTAGAACTTAGTTCTTTTAACTTCTTCATTTTTTTTTTAAAAAAAAAAAAACAAATATCAGGCTAAAGTATGTTTAAGTTTTTTTCTTAATTATTTTAGTGTATTTAATGATTCATATGAAGCACACCTAATCGTCTACACTCTACACTTGGGGTGTTCATAAAAACCCGAAAAACTGAACCAAACCGAAAACCAAACCAAACCGACCAAAAAAACCGATACTTTTTGGTTTGGTTTGGCTTTGGTTTTGAATTTTAAAAACCGATCAAATTTGGTTTGGTTTTGGTTTTAATCAGAAAAAAATCGAACCAAACCGACTATAGGAGTAGCTATTTCAAATTTATTATTACACCTATAAATATGTATATTGTTATACAAAGTTTCAAAAAATTAATGGTAAATGTTAATAGTTTGCACTTTTAATATAGTTCTTTACCTTTACATTCTAGTTTGATTGGTAGTTTTCTTTTGTTTAGTGTAAGAATTCATTTCGTGTTAAAAATAACATATTTTTAATTGAGTCCTTAAATTATTCATCATTATTTGATTCAGTTATCAGCAATATATCTTGGTAAATAATAGATTTCTCAAAGGGCAATTGATTTGATAGTGTTACATTGAAAATGTGGTCGCCGGAATATGTGTTTGGTAGTGTATGTCTTATATTTAAGAAAAACCCGACAAATAACCGAAAAACCGACCGACATAAACCGAATCGAGAAAAACCAACTTAATTGGTTTGGTTTGGTTCTAATATTTGAAAAACCGACTTACTTGGTTTGGTTGCTTTTTAGGGAAAAACCGATCCAAACCGTACCATGAACACCCCTACTCTACACTCTTATCATAACCATTTCACATGACTACGTCAAGACAAATGAAGAATCTGCATATATATATATATATATATATATATATATATATATANAAAGTTTTTCAACAATGTACACTTGTTTGGTGTTTCGCTATTAGCTAAGCAGTTTAAGTTTTATATCTGAAGGTGTAAACAGAGCGGGAAAAAAGGTGTAAATTAAAGGAACATGATATATATGCACTCGAGCCTAAATTAATTTTTATATCGCAGTGAAAGATAGATAGTCGATCATCAGCTTAGATTTTTGAAGGAGAATTAAAAGTTAATAACTTAAAATTGCTAAAATCTACATGATTTGCCATCGATGAAGGAGCAATGAACTTGAAACTACTTCTATGGCGTTGCAGAGCATGCGAATGAATGAGCTGATGAGAGGATTGTGAGGAAATGATAACTACTACTTCTCTTCATTAACAGTACAAATATATCATGTGATGTGTTGATCAGCTAGCTAACTCAACTAAGGCTCAACTAACTAACATGCTAGATCCGTTAATTTACAGCTGGCCAACTAACTAATTTTAATTACATTATCTAATGCTTTTTTTTATATTTCCATAAGATTAAGAACTCACCAAATTTGATTACACCAACAGGTTAACTCTGTAGTAGAGGCTTCTGATCTCAACCATATACCTTGGCCAGGAGAGCCTTTCAGATATCTAACTACCCTCAATGCAGCTTCGCAATGAGATCTTTTAGGTTGCGGCATAAATTGACTTAGTGTTTCGATGGCATAGCTAATGTCTGGTCTAGTGGTAGTTGTTGGCCTAAGTGAAGGTTAGTTTTGAAGATTGACAAAGGAAGCTCAGGAATGAACCAGGTCCATCCCTTGTGGTGCATAGAAACGGGCAGATTCGAGCATGTGGGATGCACGTGAAGGAGATAAGCTTAACTTGGTATATTTAATACCTCCTGATTGAAAAGGTTGCATAATTGATAAGGAGAAGGACTCCTTACTCAAAGAGAACACTATCCAAGATAGGGAAGGAGTTAGAAGTTGAGATCAACTAGAACTCTTCCGCCAAGGAAGAGTAGCATTAGAACTCTAGTTATTTCTTCATACACCCACTCTATATATTGCAGG